CCCCCCCCCCCCCCAAAAAAAAACAAAAACAAAACAACAACACAAAAACAACCCCAAACCAAACAACAAGACAAACAAAGTGAAAAACAAAGAACACAAAAAACCCAACAAAACAAAAACTTATCCCCCCTCCCCCCAACGTTTTGACCAATTTATCAGCAAAAATAAGCGCAATGATGCCCAAATTTTCATGGAACAGATGACACAACAAGAAAGACTAAAAAAGAGTAGAAGGAGCAGACCATACACCAGGGCAATGACCAACTTACACACACAGAGAAATGCAAATCAAGATTGTATGTTCGGGAAATGTTACAAATGTTAATTATAATTATCATTCCTCAATGCATAATAATCGACCGTTTCCAACGTTTTAGTTGTCCTGACCTGAGTAATTTTTCTCGAGCGCAGTAACAATCATGCCACTTAGTGTGCAGTGTATAAGACGCATAGCACTTAGTCCAGAAAACACACTCGTTTTTCCAGCCAATCGAGTCGCACAAAATCGAACTAGCATCAATTTAGAAAAAGCTGGGAAAATACAATCTCGACAAAATCAAAAGCGCACACTTTCTACTTGTCACCCACACGATCGATACTTAATCTCAACTGGCAAACATTTCTTCCGTTTACTTCTAGGAAATTAATTCTCTTTCTCCTCTTCCAGACTCATCCCCTCTCTCTATATTCCGTAACCCAAATTTAAGTACTCAGTTTTTCGGCGAACGGCTAGACTTGTGTCACATTTTAAAAATGGGCCCCCCCCCCTTCTCTCTCCTCCCCTCCACTTTCTCTCTCTCCAAAGGGTCTCTTGTATGTTAAATAAGACAATAAAAATGCTAAAATTTTCACAAAACGCTGTCTCCACCCCGACAGAATTGGTAGAAAGTGGGTCGACACAGGCCCTGTACTTAGTTTTTCCCTTTTTTGCATAAACGTAAATAAGGATTACTGGGCCCAAAAGGTCACCTAGAAAGTATCAGAGATACGATGAAGGTATTTTGCAAGCAAAAGAAGCAATATAATAATCAAAGCATCATCATGAGAAGACATTTAGAGATGTTCATCGCAACCTATTCAGAAAATAAGGAAAGTAAGGGCATTAAGCAAATCGATTCTTGGTGTCAGACAAGACATAACCATGAAGACCCTGCCAAGTGTGAAGTTATTATCTGATTTTATAGATTCTGCTCCACCCAGAGATAAAAATGTCACGTACTCATTTAGCTCATGAAGAGAAGACGCAGTGCTTTGAAAAGAAGCTGCAGTAGTCATCAGATGTTAAAAATAAGATCAGAGTCTGGTGCTACTTTATTGATATTTCTTTATCTTCAAGCCGCCCTATTGCTTATCCTCACTAACGAGTAATTAATTAAAAGACACAACTTGCACTTTGCTCTTCCAACGTGTCAGCTAACGAACTGAAATTTTCTGTTTGACACGAAAAGCAACTTTTGATACAGACTCTTGATAGAGCCAAACCCTGTTTGACTAATCACCTGTTAGTCAAGGAAGAGAGAAACGCACGATTTAGCACCCTGCCCCAGCCCCCACCCCCTTTCCTGTCCCACACCATCTTCGTATTTTATCTTATATTCAGATATAAAGTGAAGCTTGCGTATAATTTAAGACAAGAAGTACGCAGCAAAGACGGGTAATTACAGAGACACTTTTCAATGTCACTCTTTAATATACATCCGCAAATCAGCTCAATCTGTCGAGCATGAAAAAAACAAACACTTTTCATATTTTTACCGAGGCAACACAGTGAAATCAATTAAGAAGACAAGTTGCCTGAAAAATATTAAAAATACCCATAATCGTAGGCCAAATGAAAACAGTACATGCACGCATCTATCAAAGAAATCCAAAAAGAAGAATTAAAAAACCCCATTTCATAAGGGCCCATTGTATGTTTGAAGTAATGAGAAATACGTCAGCACAATAACGGCGGCTATCTAACACAGGGAAAACGTCAGACAGACACACAGAAACAAATGAAGGAAAGAAAAGAAGTAAGACTTACCAGGGGCGTCCTCCCTTCGACCACCCGCGCCGAGTGTATGCAAAACATCACAAATTCATGAGATTGTACAACTTACCGCAGCTGTCCCTGATGACGAGGTCCCTGCCTTCCCTCAGGTGGATATTCAGCATGAAGAAGGAATGTTGGCGAGTGAGCCGTGGGTGTAACTGGAGCAGGGACGAGTCCTGGAAACAAAACCACAAGGAAAAGAGAAGTCAATAAACTGTACAATAGTTAGGTTTTTTTTGTCTTTGGAGTAAATGGAAGCACATGTAGACAATGGTTGTCATTTCATGTGGGAAAAAAGTAAGTTAGTTTTAGCAAGTGTTTTATGGTACTTGCAACACAATAAGGTCAAAAATGTGCCGAAGATTAGAGGTGTTACAAGAGAGTAACAAATACAAAAAAGAAGAACGGGAGATAAAGACGATAGATGTTTGATAGGAAAGAAGAAGCAAACCACACCAGAGCACCCGCCAACCATCCACGGAAAAAAGTAAGTCGGAGTGACAGAACCACAGACAGAAAAGAAATAGGACCTACCATAGTAACCCCCCCCCGGCTTCAACGACCCTCTCCAAGAAAATCAAATCCACTTCGCAAAGACGAAATGGGCGACACAGCCATAAAAACGCCTACACAACGCAGTGTGTGTGGGCTTCCGACAAGGCATCAAACCTATTTGCAAGGCACTAATTTTCGTAATGTTGGTATTCAATGTCCCATTTTCTAAAGATCGCATCTGCAATAAATCTAGACGGATGAAGATATGTGTTTCGAAAAAAAAAGAGAAACCGAAACAAAGACACACAAAACTTCAAATAATCAGAGACAAGGAAAAACAGGCAAATGGGTAAATAGATAGACAGGACACGTGATGCATAAACGAAATAAAAACATATACAGTATTAAACAAAAATATACAAGCAAATATAAGACAGACAGTCAGACAGATAGACAGCCAGACATCAGCCCAACAGACAGACAGACAGATAGACATATAAACAGAAGGACACATACACAGAAAACACAGATTGTCAAAAGAAAATAGAGGTAGATAGATAGATAGAAAAATAGATAGATAGATAGACTAACAGGTAGAAAGATAGAGTGAGAGAACGAGCGAGAGATAGATAGATAGATAGAGAGATAATAGATAGATAGATAGATCGATAGATAGATTGATAGAGAGACAGACAGACACACAGACAGACAGAAAGAAAGAGAAGCATGTTGATACGAAAACGGTCAGCAAATTCTGAGTAAATAACACAACAAAAACGCAACAAATAATAACAACATCAACAATACCCCACAGTAGATGGATGGATATAAAAGAAGTTTTAATAAGAGTTTTACAAAATTTGCAACACAAATAGATCATGTAAGTGCTGAAGATTACGAGAACGCAACATACGAAGAAAAGGAGAAAAGATAATGACGACAGATGGTTTAGTTTTAGTAAGGTTTTACGGTGCTCGCAACTGCATAAGGTCATATGACTTTCAGTGACGACATGTTACATATATAGATTGGCAGACTAAAGAATAGACACAGAGGAACAGACAGACAGCACAAATTGGAGCAGGGCAACAGGTGGAGCGAAGCAGAGCCCCCACATAGCCCAGACGTCCGAGCCCAGCTGAGCATGCGCTGACACAAATAGCCAATAAGACTGCGTAAATCGATTGCCTGTGTGTTATAAAGGCTTTCCCACAGCTGCCCCATGGGTGGTTGGCGGGCGATCTAGTGCGGTTTGGTCTTTCTTTCCTACCGAACATATTATAATGTTATTATCAGTTGTCCTCTTATCTTTCTCTGTATGTTGCTCTCCAGTAACACCTCTAATCTTGGGAACTTAATATGACCTATTTGAATTGCAGGTGCATGAAACTCTTACTAAAACTATTAAAAAAAACAAAAACAACAACAGTCCCCGCAAAACAAAAACAAAACAACCCCCGCCCCCCAGTGGCACCATGCCCTCCCCAAGCTCTTCTCACAGAGCGGAACAAAGGGATTTGGGGGGGGGGGGGTAGAGGAGAAACAAAGAACCTCAGAAAACAATAATTTGCACACTTGGGTGAGGGAATATTGCAGAGATATAATACAGGGAATATGCCGGAGAATCTAACAGGTTTTCTGTGTGCTGTTGAGCTGAGCTGTTGAGTTACAGTATTAGGGTGATCGGCACGATTGCAGCTGCAATTCGTTTTGGCATGTTATACCCCTTTCAACCCTGTATAAGTTATTTAACTGGCGGGACCTCCAGATCTAACGTCTGTCACGGATAAAAACCAGAATCTCCCGCACCACTTCGAAGAGACTGATGGACGTAGGGAGAAGCGTGGTTATGCACGTCACAACAACAAAGTAGTGCTATTATAAGAATCGGCAAAACAGACAGAATAAAAAAGTAGCACCAATCACTCACGCCCTTCAAACTACCACCAATTTCAACAAGAAAATTAACGCCACAGATACTGTGAGTGACACAGAGCGCCCATAAAGTACCTGGCTTTTAAATGTATTAATCGGTTAGAAATGAACTTCACAAAAAGCGAGACCAGGAAATGATTTGGTCAACATTGCCAAATACGTAAACACGGGATAGTACATGTACCATGGCTCTGAAAATTGTTCAGTTTAACTTTGAGTATTGAGAAGCACATTGACTCAGTGACAGGTATTTAGTGTAAGGAAAGAGAGAACGAATTGAAGAACAGATAAAGATTAAAAGAGGATATAACCTCTATAGTTGCGTCCTCCAACCTTCTGCATATGAAAACGTAAAAGGAATACATAATAAGAAATAAGAACAAGAAAGAAAAACAGATTCCTATTTCTTTCTAACAGACAGTGTAGGATACACAAGAATTAAGTCAGATTTAACTAAATATACGTTTGTGTCTATTTTTCGGTTCCACGCCATTACTATCTATTGATATCATTCATGGTGAGTCATAGATTGGTAATGGAAAACGAAGCAAGGGGAACAAGGAACACAATAATTAAAAGGGTTTACAGAACAAGGGGG